ATACAGCTTTTGTAATGTATTCTCTTTCTGATTAGTTTTTCACCCTCTTTCAATTGGAATTTTAAGCACCATAATGATGTGAGCCAGCTGAAGTTTTTAAACAGCACAAGTATAAATGGTTATCCTAAATTATACTTGAGAGAAACTCTACTTGAAGTATTTAAGTTAATAAATAAAGACACCAAATTGATATAGGCTATTTTAAGACCAAATATGAAATACTATAAAACTTTGGTGATCTGTATGCTTTCTGGTGGCTGGCCACAGGATTTTTAATTGAATTACTACAGAAAATTTAGCACAAAATATTATCAGATTTAACCACCCACTGAGTGTGTTGTTATTGTTTTATTCGGCTAAACCAAAGGTTACAGCATCTTTTTTTCTGCACTGATTTTCAGCCCAGAGGGGTAAAGTTTTAAAATGAGATGATGAAATTTTAGAAGAGAGCAATAACTAAATAGAGGGATAATGCTCAAATATTTTCTTTAGAAAAATAAAACTATTTCATGACTCCTCTATATGTGCATTCCTGGCTTTTTAATAGTTAGCTTCTTTGGCGTTCACATTCTGAAACTTGTGTCTAGTCTGAGGTTGAGACTGGAAGGAGAGTTGTTGGGGGACAGAGGTGCTCATGAAGAAGAGACCTGTCGGCAAGCCCAGAATCAAGAGTATCCACAATTCAAGCATATTGCCTTTTGGCCACATCCTCCTAAAAGCTCAAAATGCAGGTGGGAAGGCAGCATGATTGGAGAATTCAACCCAGCAAATAATCATTCAGAGTCTGTACATTCTTCATTTGGTCATAGTAAGTGGTTAGAAATGCCCCTTTTAATGTGTTCCGAGTCAGTGTGTCTCACCTTGTGACTGAGATCATCTACTTCCGTGGTTCTTAAAGTGCAGTCTCCACACCAGCAGCGTCACTCAGGAACTTGTTAGAAATGTATATTCTTATTTGCTTATCCAGACCTACTGATCAGAAACACTAGGGAGAGGGCCCGGAAGTCTGTGTTTTAGAAGTCCTCCATGTATTTCTCATGCCTGCTAAAGTTAGAAAACAACTGATTTAAATTACGTTGATCAGTGTACGTTTTTCGGTAACCGTATCAAAGAGCTACTTTCCCACTGTCTGATTCATAATAAATGTTAATAAGTAAATGACTCTCAATAAATGTTACTCTGAAAATGAAAATATACTTAATTTGTAAAGCAGCAGTCTGCGATGTTTGCTGTCATATTTTAGTCTCTTTTTCACTGTGTATTCAGGAATGAGTAGTTGCCCTCACAGTCTATTCATTTTCTTTCCCTTCGAGACTAGCTCTTCAGCTTTTCATTTAATATGAAAGGTCGTCTTCAAAGAAAATTGTTGTCTGATGCCTCAGTTATTTAATTCTCTAGAGGGTCACTGAGAAGCAAAGTTGGTTCATGCCAATCATTTCTTTCCCATTTTTAAAGAGGGATAGTCAGTCCACTGTCAATAATGATTAGTGAAATTTTTCTCTAGTTTCTTCTGCAGGACTAACCAGAAGTTCAGTGGCCGAGATTTGTTGTTTTTGGACTTCTAAGTTGGCTTTGAGTCTGCTTAGGCAGCAAATTCATCAAGGGCTTTAATACTTTCAGCTTTGCTTCAAGTAATATGTGAAAATGGAGAGAAAAATCAATCACAAAGCACATTGAAGTGCAGCAGATTTATGGAGACAAGTGGGCTCAGATTGTGACATGTGAATTCATATGTATTATACACCCAATAAGTTCTGATATGTGCAATCCAGGGGAATCATGACTTCAGATTCAGTGAGATTCATGTGGTACAAATCTCTTTTGCATCTTGTCAGGCAAACAAACTCTGTGGGTTGAACAGCATCCCTGCATATAAAGGCATCCAGCCCTTCCTTGGAGAGAGATTCCTCAGGTAGGACAGTGAAAGGGAGAGTCAGGGCCTGGAGTTGGGTGTGTGTCCTATGGGAATGTGTGTGTCCTATGGGAAGGAGACAGCCAATTTCAGGTAAAAACTTGCAATCCAGGGATCACTGAGATTTTAGGGAGGCTCCACATGGAGCCGGGCAGGGACATAGGGATGGTCAAGGGGTGCTGATAGTCTGCCAGGAAGATAGAGAAGTATGGTAGGGGCAGGAGGGAAGGGGGGCTTCAGGGAGCCAGAAACCTAAATAACTGTAGGTCCTTCTTAGGTAGCATTCCTTGGGATGCTAGTGGGGACATGGGTGGGAGAATGCTTCTAGTATGGGATTGTGTGGAGTAGTGCTAACCACTACCTGAGCAGCACTTTTTTTGTCTGAGTGAAGGCAGCTACTGACATTACAGGCTCTGGACTGGTACCTGGATTTGTAGCTGAGTCCTGGCCAGTGCTACTCAGCTTTGTCCCCCAAACTTCAGTGTGTTTGTTCATTCAGAGAAAGGGGAGAATTGGCTTCTAGAGCCCAGGCCCTGAGAGATAGCCTGTAAAGACCTGCATTTTGAAATCCACAGACATCGAACACCTTCCTGGTGCCAAGTGCCATGGAGGCACTAGGGATCAAGTGGTGAGCAAGAGTTCCTGCCCTCAGGGAGCACCAAGCCTAGTGAAGGACATGAGTACCTAAACAGCTTATTATAATTCGATGGGATGATCTTTGAATCAATTCTTTTTTTGCCTGAGGAAATCATCCAGGTCTTTTTAGAAGAGGTGATATATAGCTAGGCCAGGCAGTGAAGAGGAGCAGGGGCATTGCAGGCAAAAGGAAGTGTTTAAAGAAGTATGATGCTCTCGGGAAATGGCAAGTGGTCTGTTTTTGCAGCAGTGTAAGATATCTGAGAGTAAGTGGTGGACTTGAAGTTGGACAGTTGATGTGGAGTCAGATCATAAAAGATTTGTATCTTGCTGGGGGAATAAGAAACAGAGCTTTAAACGGAGAGTGACACAATCAGATTTGTTTTAGAAAGATCATTCTAGCTCCTTTGGGGAGGGTGGATTAGAGGAAGTAGAGTGTTGTCAAAGTACAGTTGAGGCATGATGAGGGCCTGACTTGGTCATTGCCAAGGTGGTAGAGAAGCCAAACTGACTTTTAGAGGCTTGAATTTGCCCACCTGACTTCTCTTTTTCAGTCCTATCCTCACCTCTTTGGGGGCTGCTATGGCTCCTGCTTCTCTAGGTCCTGCATCCATAGGTGCTTCTGATAGAGGGGACAGATGGAACTTGAGCCTAATTCTCTCATTTATTACATGAGCTTGTTTCTCTCCCAAAGATTTTACCAAACTTTCCTAACAGTGTGTAACTGAAGCCAATTGCATCTTACTATATTAGTAAATTCTGTCTTTAGATACTATCTTTTGTGACAAGTAACATTCTTTGCACTTGACATGTAGTTTAAGTGGCTTACATCAAATGCATTAGTTCATTCTTGGAACTTTTATTGACATTTACTATGTAAAGGCACTACTGGCTTCACTGAAGGGTAACTTAAAAAGTACTTGGCATCCTCTTGCAGAGTGTATCAACTCTGCTTTATTCTTTACAGCCACAAACCAAGGGATTTTCTAAAAGCATTTGGTTGATTGATTCATTCATTTACTCATCCATCTATGAATCCATCATTCAACCAGTATTTGTTAAGCATCTACTGTGTGAAGGCAAAGTAATAACATGAGAAACACATTAGGGGTGGAAAAGAAAATAGAATGGAGAGTTCTAGAGGGACCTCAGAGATCTCAGAAAGCCCCGAATATAAAAATAACCTCAAGGCTCTAAGCAACTTAATCTCTAATACTAGGGTCACTTCTATTATTAAGGAGTATCTTGGGTTAGGAAGTGAGGTTTTAGCTTCTTAGATAACCTATCCTACCTCTGCTTCCATGTTCCTCTTGTAGTTACTTGAAACTTTTGATCACTGGAATGTGCACTGTGGAACTGTATGCACCAGGCCACAGTAATTTCAAGAAATGAATAATAAGTATTTTCCATTATCTATCTACAGGATTTTCTCCTCAGTCAAGAAGGAACTAAATAGTATGCTTTCCTAAGCAGATGTGATGGAAAATACTCAGTCCACTCCTGAATATTTAGATCTGTTTGAAAATTGACCATTTCAGACTTTGGCTACTAGTGGTTTGTGTAAATGACTCAGGGTCGTCAGAGACCATCTTGGAAGTACTGCATACCCAGGCATATTTTGATCTCTTCTTTCTTTAAAGCCCTTCTCTCAACTGAAAAAGCCCTTTCTTATTCTATAGTCTTCTACTCTTTTGTGGAAAGAGTACTTGCTGGGAGTTAGGTGATTTGGTTTTTAATCCCAGCTCTGCTGCTAACTAGTTATATCACTTTAGGCCCGGGATTGGCAAACTACAGAGTGCTGTCAAATCTGGCCCACCATTTGTTTTTGTACATAAAGTTTTATTGGAACCCAGCCATGATTATTTTTTTACTTATTATCTTGGATGATTTTGTGCCACAATGCAGAGATGAGTATTTGTCACAGGATTGTATGGCCCACAGAGCCTAAAATATTTAGTATCTGGCCCTTTACAGAAAAATTTTCCAAGCCAGCATTAGGCAGGTCATTATCTTAATTGAGCCTCAACTTCCCTATCTATGAATTTTGGGAACTGGATTAGGTTGTCACTAGGGCCCACATCCTTGTTAGCATTCTAATATTCTATATAACTCTTTCTATGGAGCAGCTTTATCTCCTGTCATTGTACACTGAGATATAAACCTATTCATATTTTCACTCACTTGTTCAATTTATTGAGCTCCTAGTACTAGCAAGCCACTATAGAAAACTAACAAGTCTAAGAAAGTCCCTGCCCTTGAGAAGCGTATAATCTGGTTAGAAAACATAGTTACGAGGTTTAGAACTTAAATTATAAGATAATAAAAGATAACATAGCAAATTGAGTGATAATGATTAAATACTGTTCCTGCCCAGGAATTCATGTGAGGTTTGGCAGGAGGAACTCCATTGTCCATGGAAAAATTACTTCAGTGACTTTTTCTGTCCTTTTAGGAAATCTGAGACCTCTCAGGCCAAGAAGATCACCTTGAGGACTCTATTCTAAAGGCCATTGAACTTCTTTGGGTAAGTCCAGAGGGGAGATCTGAGATCAATAGAGCTGTTGTGTTTATGACTGCTGAGGATAAATCATTGGAAAGAGTCAAGGTACTAACTGCCTCCTTTAGCATCTGACTCCTGGTTCTTTTGTGGTGAGCTCCTTGTTCCTGCAAAGCTGGCTGGGGTCAGCATAGTGGGTCAAAAAAAAAAAACCCTCAGTGAGAGAGGTTGGGAATCTCTGCTCTCCATCCCAAAACATGTCACCGATGGCTTGAACATACCACCAGATACTCAAGATACAGAGAATAGATTCCACCTATGGGAGAGTGACCTTGTGAAGAGAAGTTTGGAGTCATCATCAGAGCCATTGGAGGGGACATTTGAAAGTCATGTGGATGTCATTTCGCAAGATCTTGTCATGCCTCCAGTCCAGAGGAGAAAGTTAGATCCAATCCCCAAAAAACATAGACCTCTTAGGAAGGCTGTAAGGACGATGAGAACAAGAAAGAGCAAGAGGAAGGAGAAAGTGGAGACCTGCTGCCCCCAGATTCTTCCACCACCTGTGGTACCACCACAAAGTGAAGAAGATGAGGTGGTAGATACAAAGCTAACGGTACTCAGTGCCCAGGAAGATGATGGTGACCTTCTCAATGAGGTAGGGGTGAGGGTAGCAAAAATCTGAGTTTGCCATATTTCCGTACGAAAAATAATGACGACTTTTCACCCGGAGTGAGAGGAGTTGGGGACAAGGAGCTTGAGAAACAAACTGGGATCTTCAGGCCCAGATAGAGCATGAAGGAACTGGCTCAGGGGGTCATGTTCATTCTACAGATGTGCATTGGCACTGACAGCTTTTAATTTCTTTCTTCTACTTGCAAGACAGATCGCAGAGTCTGCCCAATGAGGGTGCCTGTGTGATGCATCAGGAATGTCAGATCCAACCCTGTGAGCTCTCAGTGTCCCAGGAACTGGGGCCCTTTTCTCCTGCAGTGACATCTGTGGTATCATCACCACTCTGCTTCGGTCGTTTCCTAAGCTGTGTTTGCCAGACCTTCTCAAGGTCTAGGAAGCAGAAAGCCTCCCAGAAGAGAGGGCCCAAAACAGGATGAGGCTGGAGGTGATGGTAAGGCTTTGAGACCTGGCCTGCTGAGGGGTCTGGGCAAAAATAGAGTGCAGCCTCATTAAAGCCTTTAGCAAGTTGAAGTAGACATAGGTTTCCCTTGCGTTTAGTTTTATAGTTTTCTCTATGTGGTTTTCCTGTTAGTTGAGTTCTTGTCTGTCAAGAGATAGCTGTTTTTATGCTGAGATCCTCAAGCCTAAAGAGGTAGTAAAAGCAAAGTTACTTCGAAGCTTTTGACACTGTGTCTGGTAGTGGTATTGCTTCTTACTGCTTCCCATCAGGCTGAAGTAGGATTCATTCTGGAGCAGCGGTTCCCAAAATGCATGTGTATTTCACTCATGTATTCAGTTGGCTTAATTTTCACTAACTTCTCTGAGGATGGAAGCCATACAATTTCATCATTTTGAGTAAAATCTCCTAATATCGACCACCAAGTGGACACTTCTCATGTCCAACTCCTCTCATTGACTTTTACCTTTAGCTAGGGATTCATTTTGCATTCTTGATGTTCAATACTTTGTTGAAATTCTGCCATTCCTGCTTGATTTGGCTATGCCTCAGGGATGGTGGTTGCTGCTGTTCTTGGACAGGATGCTGCTATCGCCTCCCTCATCTCTAAGCATTCTTTGGATTTCTTTTGGTCACTTGTTACTAACATGCCTGGATCTTCCTTCTCAAGTTTGCCTCTGGTGTTCTCTAGCCGTCTGTATTGAAAATGTTGTCATACAAGGTAGTGTTACTTTCTCCTCATTCTTTAGCCAGACTCTCACAGAATCCTGAGTTCTTAGAATCCTAAAGAAAATAAGCATCTTAAAAAAGTTCAAGATCATTTCGTTTCCCTCTTGTCCTGGCATGCTAGGTTAATCCTCTTCCCAGGATATAAAATAAGAATTTAAATTAATCTTACACCCTCCTATGATGGAGCAGATTTAAGAAGAGTTTGAAAGTCTCCCTGTAGCTTTAATTACTTATTTCTTACTTGTTCCAGCTTCCAGTTCATATAAGAATAATAAATAAAAGTACAACTATAAATAAACGTGCAGGGTGCCTGCAGAGGGAAGCTGTATACTGTATTTTCTTTCTTCCTCAGGACTGACCCTGATGGTTCGTACACTAGAATTGGAGAAGATGACTAGTGTGCTTGCTTGTTCTTTTCTCGTCCAAAACAGGGCTTTGTACTGTTGGAAGAATGTAGTTGGAAAGGGAATACAATGAGTTGCAAGAGCAGTGGCAAAGATCCATAAGGCTGCCTTGGTGGTAACTGGGAAAAACTGACCCGGAAGAAGTCTCGTGGTGTGGTGAGGATCTCAAATTAGAATTAGAAATTTTGCAAACTGTCGTACTCAGTGCTCGGAGTAAAATGGGTCGCCTTTCTAAAATCAGTCATGCTTTGATACCTATAGGTGTTTAAAAAGTGGTTGATTTCTTGATTTAGAGAGTGTGGAGTTTTAATAGAGCTAATTGACCATGGGCTCAAGCTATTATATGACATTTCAAATTATCTAAACTATATTTACGTACATATTTTCTCAATGTAATACAAGAAACATCCTACCAGGCAAAGCATAATGTACGTAAAGTCCTGAGTCATAGAGCCTGTTATGAAAAGCTCAAAGGAGGGTAGATATTAGTGTTGCTTTTAATACTTTATTATTGTTATTTTTTCTTATCATAAGATGATTCAGGATGAGCTGTTCTATCACAGAAAAACTATCAGAGCCTAGTTAGCCATATCCCCAACCCCAGCTAAAATACTGATTTTCATGTAAAGCTAATTTATGCCAATTTAGAGTACAGATTTCAGATAAAGAAAGATCTGTGCAAGCACTTAGTTTTGAAACTCTTTTCCTTATATGTCTTGACCCCTTGCTTGCAAATAGAAGAAAAGATGTCCCATCTCCTCTGATGCATTTATAAATGAGAAAGTCTATATTCTCAGGTTTCAGATTTTGTGGTGTTGTCTTTATGGTTTGAATTATTAAATAGGATTTATGGCTTTTTTAAGTTGTTTTTGTAAAATATATTTAGAAAATAGTACAGCTGTATCAAAGTAATAAAGGAAAATTAAAAATTGAAACCACTGCTATTGATGAGAGATAAAGCTTAGGGGTCATATTTTAAAATTGTTTCCTCACAAGGCAGATAAACAGATATTGTAAATATGTTGTAAACAGAAATAATTGACAAGTATAAAGATGATCATGTTTAATGTATTTAGTTCCCTTTTTTAATGGGAACTCAAAGAACTATGTAGGTAGCAGGCGTACGCATTGCCACAGGTTGATTAAGCTGAGATTAAGCAGGTCAATTAAAGTTTTCCAGTGATTTTCCCAAGATCACTCATGAAATCTGATAGGGAATCATAATACAAGTTCTTTAAACAGATGACTTAAACACTTTTCTTGGTTTTATCTTCTAAATGTGATAGCTTTTGCTCGGGTCCTTGTCCCGACTGTCCATACTGAAACACTTCCTGCTGGCTATTTTCCTTGTGTCACTTTGTCCTTGCATTACTGTCCAAATTCCAACTAGTGTCATCTTTACTCATTTGGAAAATTTTAACATGGAAAAACTCTGGCTATTGGAAAATTATACAAGGAACCAATAGAGAGGGTTTACTTATTAACTAAGTTTTGACAGAAAAAGTAGAAATTATCTAGTCCTGCCCTCTTATTTTTCAGAGGAACCTGAAAGAAAGAAATTAAGTAGCTCTCTCAAGATAACGTAGCTGGTTAGTGGCAAAACTAAAACAAATAATAGCTACCATTAGATTTAGTATCATGTTTTTACACATCTATAATTTTCAAGCAATTTGCATACGGTTGATATTCATATTGTCACTTTACAGATGAGTTTAAGTTCATAAAAGTCCCAAGACTCGTTAAGTCCTAGTGCAGAATCCAAACCCAGCTCTGTTAGTCTCAGAAGCCTATGCTTGTTACATTCTCTCTCTCAGTATAATAATGTTATAAAATCTCTTTGTTTCCAATCTAACTCTGTAATGTCAAGAACAGGCAATTTCTCTTATTTGCCAAAATTTAGATTTTAACCTTAATACATTTACAACAAAAATGGTCCTATAAAAACAGTCCAATTAAAAAGACTATTTCTTCCAGGTAGAACTTCTGTATTGGGAAGTAAATAATGAAATCGTTAACCTGAACATCACGATAAAAAAAAATTGCAGTGTAATATAAACAAAGTTTTAATCATTACAACCAATTAAACCAAGACAATTGCTTAACTGAAAAGTGATCAAAAAAAAAAAAAAGGGGCAGCACATAATCAAAGCTAGGCCCTCGACTCGACAGGGTCACAATACAAAGCCCAGCAAAGATAAATTAGGTTGCATAGAAAGCTAATAGACTTGAGAGGGTTTCTAAACCGTTTTCAGGTGAATGGTTTGGGACTTGGGTAGCACAGAGACAAGCTCCTCTACATTAGTCAGTGACCCTTGAAATAAGTGAGTGTCCTCCCACTAATGAACTCCAGGCTTTAAATAGGAAATTTGAATTTTCTCACGCTTCGAAACATTCTTTTCATTCTGATTTGACAAGGCCTCTTTCAAGACAAAAGAAAAGAACAACAAAACTGGAAGATCCAACCACTGGACTGTGTGTTCAAGGAAGGTTGTTCTTCATTTTTTCAAATTCAAGACATGAGGACAGTGTTGTACACGGGACATCAGACTGGTGCAGATGTCTTGAGCTATTTTCTGTCAGCTGTGAAGAATTGCAGCACAGCTCCTATTAGGGAACATTTGTGATGGGCTCTCAGACACAGGGTTATCACCCTCCTGGTTCATAGTGCTAGAGGAAGTAGATCTTTGCCTGGGATCCTTGCTCCCCCCCTACCTTGTGCCTTCCGAGTCAGTCCTGCAGTTGGTGAGAGGCCCAAGGAAGGCTAT